ATATAAATTTATTATCCTCTCTGTAAAAGGACTTTCCAGTCTTTTTTAACTGAGGGCAAAGACCAATGTGCAACTTGCTGGCGAACAAGAAATCTCAGCCTTTAGCTGGGACACTAAAACAATTCCTGTGGGCACCTTTCATCTGCTTCAGTGCCAAGTCAGCCAGGTTAACGATAACCACCACGGCGGTGAAGAGCTGCCAAGGGCAGCATTTGCTCCTAGGTCGGCAAGAGGGTCAAGTCGTGTTTATTTTACAAACAGGTACGGAAAACTCAAACGTGTGTGTGTGTATGTATGTATGTATACATCTTTACCTGGAATCTCAGGATAATAGTCCAAATAAGGCCAAGGGTCAGCCTGTGATTCCCATCCACAATATCGTGGGATCCCATGTTTTCTAGGTGCACTCTTTGCTCTTTCAGGAACTGGAGGGCTTTATCAACATTTTCCAGGCAATGGATGCGCATCCTTCCCTTAGTTGGTTTAGGCTAGAAGGTAAAAGGGAAAAGAGAAACATGGATTACTGTAGATGGAAGAGGCAGGAGGGAAGTGCATGTCAACTCTTCAGTCCAGGCAGATGAGTCACCACGTTGACCACTCCCCGCCAGCAATACTCCATGCATTTGTTCTTCAAATTCCGTGGACAAAACTGCTCCTTGCATTTACAGCACATCATGGTGGACATGCCAACATCCTAGGCCTGAGCCACACACACTGGGTGCCAATTTCATTTGCCTTTCAAAGTATTTTGCCTACTTACTTCCTTCACGTTTTCTGTCTAGTATATTCATTCACTAGCTGGAAGATTTTGTTTTGTTAAGTTCATGCTAGAACTTATTTTGTTAAGTTCATGCTAGACCTGTTACATTTTCCCAAGATGCTTTTATTCTCCCTTACAACTTCTTCAACACTTCAGAAGATTCTGCAAAGACAAAGATACGAAACAAACTGATAACTGGCACACACAGGCAATAGAAGGAATGGTAATGAACGCTCCAGAGAGTTTCTGTAAACACAGATACACACTCTGCAAAAAGGCAGCTCAGGTTTGGACCGTAAGCTACTCAAGAAAATTCCTCAAGAAAGAAATAGCATTGCTTTCTTTTTTTTGGTCAGTTGAAGTAGGATAAATAGCATGAAAATAACAAAAGAGATTTATTCAAAACAATTTCTTCATAGGGGAAAAAAAAAGGAGGGGAAAAATGAGCCACACCCATGTAACAATTTTAGGAAGGCTCAGTGCAAATGACAAAAGCTATGAATATATTAACAGTATGTAGCAGTCTGTTGCAAAACCGAATAAAACTAAAGCAACTTTGCTTTTGCAGATAAGGATTCCAGCTGAATAGCCTGTTCAGTGCTCACTGAGATGTCACCAAAGGTACTCAGCCAAACTACTAATTGACATAATTTCCTTGTTTTCTGCAGTGAACATAATTAACTGGCCATGGAAATAGCTCAGGCAAAATCCTCGCCTCAGACTGCATTCAAGGGGAAGAGTTTCAGCTGGAGCCATATTACGGTCTCTAGAAACAGCAGCCTGCACAACAGCGTGTCATAACGATGAAACGCTTGCTAGAAAGATGCCCTTCAGGGCACATAACCCCCCAAGGTCATTAGTTTCACTTCAGCTTTCAGTTAGCGCAGTTCTCCAGAGGCCGTGTAACAATGCAGAGAAAGTCAACCCACAATTCCCAGCAAAAGCAAAAATTGCCAGGACCCTGTCACTGCTTTTGGGTACAGAAGTCCCTCCAAAGAGGCCCAAATTGCATGTATGCCCCATGCACATAACCATGCACCCCAACCGCTGCCAGTGTAGGGTGAAGAGCCACTGCATGAGCTGGAGCAAGAGTGAGGTTATGCTGTTGGCTGAAACAACCGGAGATCCATCGCTATCAGCAGGGACAATCCAGGATCCATCCTTTTGCTGGTACCATCCCAGGAGTGTGGTAAGCTGGACCGTGGGTTTAATTTCATCTTGCAAAATACAGGTAGGAAGGCTGTTCCCAGGGCAGGAGAGGGAGCGCCCAGCTGCAGGGGAAGGCGGAGGCGAGGCTGCGCCCAGCAGCTGCCCAGCTCCAGCCCACTGCCAGACCTGAGAGCCTGAGATCAGTGTTACACAGTGTGCTCGCCTGTGTGGCCATGTTCCCAAAACACAGGCACGGCTGTGGCAGCAGCCATTTCTAAGCAGCAGTGGCAGACTGGACTCTGTCCTCTCTGTCCCCCTCACCCTAATGCAGCTCTTCTCACTTGCCTAAGCAGTAACTGCACTGCCTCTAATGCCTCAAGTTATTTAGCAGAAAATGGGGTTAAAAGCGCTTTTTCTGCCCTCAGAAGCTCCAGCACCAAGGTGACAGAGCTAATAGCATTTGCAATAGATGTTTTATTTAGTTCCTGAGACTGCCTGCTCCCACCCACGCTCTGTACGATGACATACTCTCCGATTAACCATCTGGGAAATGTAACCTTCACGTTATTCGCAGGAATTTTTCTCCCACAACCGCAATGACTGTACGTGAAGCAGCAGAGCACACACAGTAAACCTGAAGAGGACCCTGCTCCCTGTTGAGGAGGAGCGCACTGACATATTTTTCTAGTGCTCCAGCACTAGGTGCACTTTCTAGCTCAGAAATTCCCCGTTGGGACTGTAACAGTTTATTAGCAGCGTCATCTAGGGCAGTTCAAACTGTGACTTACGAATGGCCTGAGAAGGCACTTCAAATTTCTGCACAGGCGAGAACGACAGCACTGCCTGGCCAAAAAAGAAGCGTCAGGCACCCTGAGAAGACAGAAGGTTCAATTTTTCTGTGCCTCCGCACAGGCAGGCCATACGGCTTAACCCACCGTTCTGCAACAAAAAGAGGAAGAGGCATCCGGGTCCGGTTTGTACGAGGTGTGGCTGCGCTGGTCACACTCTCCTGCACAGCCTCAAGGGGAGACAGAGTGAGACACAACTTTCGCCTTCACTGGGCTAAAACAGATCCAGAAATTACCAGAGGAAAAGAAAGCACGCTGAATCCATTGTTTATTGTATTTACCTAAACTCAGAGTCTTCACACGCACATTGCCAGTAAAATCTTTCACATAAAAATCTTCCCTTTTCCAAAAGAAAACGTGACAGAACTTACTACAGAGAATCTGCTTCAACAGTTTGACCTTTGAGCATCCCGGAATTGTAAGGAATTTACTAATCCTTTATATAGTTATGGAAGAAACTGAGCTAAATGCTTCATTTTATGCAGAAAACAATTCTCAGCTTTATTTTTCTGTTTGGGAGAAGCTGGTTAACAGTGTGTGCAAACAAAATTACAACTGCCTTTTCATACTGGCTGGATTCTTTTCTGCTTTGCTCAGTGAGACTCTTGCATGCTATCAATTTCTTTCCGAACACTGTGCTGTACAGAGGACCTTATGTAGCAAGGTCTGGACTGAGCACTAGGATTAGGAATCGAGCTGAGCAAAGACAGGGAGATGCAGATGTTGCCCTTATTGCATGCTCTTATTTTGAGTTTCTCCAACCTGCCTTCAAGGACTCTGGGTTTTCATCACCAAAACATCACAACGGCTTTTGAAAAATGCAGGGTTCACGCAAATGAGGCTGGAGGTCTTACAGAGGGCAAAGAGCAGTCCTGCTTCTCTGAGTAGCGTCTGAAACCCTGGACTCTGCTCCACAGGCATATGGCTCCAGCTCCAGAATCTCAATCCCAGTTTCGAAAGTGACAAACCCATTCCTGTTTGTTCTACTACATCAATAAACACACCATATTAAAATAATTATCTAGGCTAGTTTCTGCATTTGTTTATTGTTTTCTTACCATTTGATGTTTCTTGTCTTGATTTTAAGCTTTCTGCGTAAGATACTGCCTTTAGATTTCTTCTTAGGAGTCATGGAGATGTCGGAACCTAACCAATACCAGCTAAAATAAATTCCAAAAGGCTGGAGAACATCAGCAAGTGGATGCTACGTGCCAATCCTCCTGGAATATTTTTTGGTGTGTGTAATTGTCTCAAGGTTTAGTGCATTGCGTTATCTGTATTCTTGTTTGCAGAGGAAGGTGTGGTGGAATGTACTGTTCAAACAGAGACTGCTGTCCTCCATCATGAGATAACGAAGCTACAAAAAGAATTTGTGGTCATGCAAACAGCTGCCAATGCGATACGCAAACGATGATGCAAGTGCAGATCCAGCATTTTCACAGCATGGCTCCTGCACCCTCCCCACCCGAACTGCTGCGTAAGCTCTGTTTGCATTTTTCAAAACCTGGAGCGAAAAATGAAAATTAATCACGCACCAAGAGTCACACGACTGGTCTGAGCTTCACCGCTGCTGTTTGACACTACAGTCAAATCTTGGCAGGCAGATACGAAAATTTAAACAGAGGTGTCACGGTTGCTGTCTGAATCCTCAAATAATGGGGCATGTTGGTCTCGGTTATTCCTGTATGAATAACATCTGCTACCTGCAGTGAACATGTCATACCCAATACCTCACGGAAGTAAATGATTTGGCATAGAGAGAAAGATGTTTTGAGCAAACTGTAGTTGACAAACATTGCGATTGGTTACCTCCATCCACGCAGGGTACTTCTATGCACATCAGAGTTTCCTTACCCTCACAGATGCATTTAGAAATCTCCCTCTCCTGCCTTACTGTACAGACACTACACTGTGGGCCATATGTTCAATTCATTAACCAGAGTCTTAAGCCATGGAGCGTCCATTAATAGGAGTGCTTGATGACAAGCAATTACACAGTTGCATCCTCATGTAGCCTTAGGTCTTAGCTAAAGACCCGTATTTCTTTGAAAAGATTGCTTTAAATCAGGTAGTTAAGAGTATAGCCATCATTTAAGGAACTGAATCAAAAACTGATACCCAGCCGTTTCCTGACACCCAGTTTTCCTGACATGCAGCCGCATTTTTCACTATAGGGATTTTCTTACTCACCACTCCCCTGCACTGCTATCAAGGGGGCTCTCAGTATACCCAAAGGATGAATTTGCCCCATTTATTTAAATTCATTTTAGATATTCCTCTAACCAAAAAAACCCCCAAGCCTTACCTATCCTAGTAAAATTAAGTAGGCTCAGGAGCATTCCTGAGCAGCGGGGTAAAATTAACACCACGGCTAAAACTGCTGCAATGCTTCCCAGAGTGGTCCAGGCCTTGGGGCAGCCTGCACGCAGCCACCTGCATCCCATGGCTGTGTTTACTAGCACAGAAACAGGCCAGCTGGCCACAGTGCCCGGGAACATTCCTCAGCACATCTAATTCACCATTACCGAGACGGTCTAAGGGGCTGGAGAACATTTAGTGCTCTGTGTCTGTCAGGCTCAGGAGCAGGCAGTATGCTGCTGGAAGCACTCAGCATCTCACCAGCAAGGAACCTTTGAAGGAGACTTCCTTTGATTCCTACTGAAACCAATAGGAAGGTATTTAATGGTGTCTGGACCCAGCTGAAACAATAGACTCCTTTTTTTTTCTTTAATACTTAAAAAGACATTTGCAGTGCTGAATCTACAGTTTCACTGTACTTCTGCTGAGCCAAGGATTCACCAAAAAACCCCACCCAAACCTAAAGCAAAAAAACCACAGAGAATATTAATAAAGACTTACAAGTCTCTCTCCTGAAAGAACCTCCAGAAGTTTGATGAGCATCCTTCCATCGCGAAGGTCAGTGTACAGGTCTGTAATTCTGCATGACACGCGTGCCAAGTGGGAATTAACCCACTTTGTGAAAGTCTTCTTCTGAACTGCCTCACGTTCATCTGTCAGGAAAACAACACAATGTTACTCTAAATAAATTACCATTCACATACCTAACGTGATAAAGTGATGTTCAAATGCATCTAATATATTAAATGGAAGGTATGGTTTGTTTGCTTAGCAGAATCATTGAAGAAACTGGGGCTTTTCACTGAAAAGTCACCTTTCTTCCTATTTGTTGACATTTCCTAATGTCAGTGAGAACTTTACTGAGTTACTATCTATGGGATAAATCTGAAGCATAGATCGCAGGCTGACTTACTGCTCAGATAAGCAGCTTTCTCAAGGTGTGAAGAGGTCTGTTGTAGAGCTACAGTGTAAAATCCACTTTGGACTCATCTAACTAATTTGATCAAGAGTATCTTCCACCACTGGAAGAAGTCAACTTCTGCTCTCGAATACACAAACAAATCCACAACAGATCCTCTGAAATACCAGACGTCACTTTGGTTTAAGATAGGTATAAAGGAGAGCAGAGACCAAAGCTTCCCATTTACTTTTTTTCCCTTCTCATTTCGATATTTATTTGCAGATTCAACATTTGTAACTGTATTTACACAATGTCAAGATGAACTTTTCCATAACTGCATGTTTGAAGGAGACTTGCATTTATTTAAAGCTATAGAAAAATAGGCTCTTTCCACTTGCCCTTCCCAGAGTCTTTCACAACTGTTTATACATGAAAACATTGGCTAGGAGAGCTCTCTTAATGCACAGACTCACTACAGGCCATGTTAATTCAGAAACTCCTAAACAGCTATCTGCTGAGCTGAGAAAACTCAGACAGAAAATGTTAGACATCTTTATGGTTAAATTCTTTTGCCAAGGGCTTTGGATGAAGCCCACCCTTGTTAGCAAGAAGTCATTTCACTGAGCTGGGAACTACTACAGACCAAATTTGTCAAAACACAGGTGCTCAAACTTGGGTCCAAAGTCCATAATTAGACACACGAATGAAAGCGGTCTGCTTTTCCAAGCAGCTCAGCATCTATGCCTCCCATCAGTCTCTTTAAAGTTGTTGGCACGTCAGAAGCAGGACATGAAGACTGGTAAATCCTAAACCAAAATATAATGTGTGCAGCTCTGAAAAACTCTGAGCACATTGTTTGAAACACAGAAAATGTTAACAACTGTGCAGATCAACACAGTTTGTATCTGACTAGCCAAGGTTTCGGTCGATACTGTCCCTCGAAAGGCAGGATGTGCCCCCTTCCTGGCAGCGCAGCGTGGTGGGCCACGATCCCAGCACCTTCAGAACCAGCTATATATCAGCCTCCACACCCAGAGAACCTTGGGGACACCAGCAAAAGCCTGACCGTGGTGACAAGAAATGAAAAAGCCACCAGGGCTGAAGAGGATAGAAAGTTGGTAAACAAGAAGGAAAAAAAAAAAAGACAATAAGAAATCATAGAGTAGAATGGTGGTAAGGAGGAAGAATCTGAGAGGGAGTGGGAGAGCAGACCAGCACTTCAGTGGCCATTTGTCCAATTACATAAACCCCACCCTAAGATTTCAGTTCCTCCCATGTATTTCTGAATTTATTCTTGCTACCCGACCAAGTGGCAGGACGTGACCAAACCTAATGCACTGAAACCGTCCCATTTGTAACAGTTTTTACCTACCTGTAAGGTGTGAAATTCAGAAAACAGGGCTTGGAAAGATGTAAAAGGTGGGGTTTGTGATAAAACAGCAATATGCTTTCAATGAATTAACAGTTTGCGTTGCTCGTTTGTCCCCACTCTGTATGAAGCAGATTGCTAAGATACAGGAAGCGAACAGGAAATTAGCAATAACTGCGGCTTGCTTTCCAGTGCACCGAGAAGAGCCAACTGCAGTTTCTCCTAGGCGGCACCGTGTGCTCCTAGCTGCCCAAACCTCTGCTCCCCACCACGTACCACCAATGCCACGTGATGCACATGCCCTTTACTGCCAGAACATCACAGCGTCAGTAGCACCGGGCGCCACTGCCCAGCATTAATAAGCCCGGTGCGAACAGGAGAATGGTCAGCTGGTTAGAAAGCCCAAACCTTGTCACAGCAAGGCAATACTAGAAAAATAAACATTATCTTTGCAGGCAAAAGCTGCAGCGTCTCCTGTGTTGCAACTTGTACCAGTGGTGTAATAACACAGCTTGTTCAATCTTGGACTAAAGAAGAAAAAATCCAACACATTCAACTGGTGAAAATAGTTATCTATCCAAGTAATGATTTAAATATAGCCTACTAATCTTAAATATACATTTTATGAACTATTTATAGCAAGTTCCTGGGAATGCTGTATCTGCATATCTGCTTGTCTAGTAATCCATGCTTTTAGTTGGAGTATTTTCTTGAAATGAGTCACAGAATAAAAACCTTGCAATAGTTGGTGCTTTTTAAAGAAAATTTCAACAGAAATTACCACATCTCCCTTCACCAACTTGAACAAGCCCCAAAACAGCTCAGCAAGTTTATTTAATCACTGTAGTCTCTATACAGAAGCACAACATTCAGAGATCCCTGTGGTTACATTCATTACAAAGAGAAATACGGATGTACATGATCCTAAAAATAGAGTTGGATATAGAAAATATTGTGTAAAACAAAAAAAAGCTATCAAATTTCATCATGAAGCCATCTATTAAAAAAAATCTTTGGTCAAAAGTTATGGTTATCAACAATCCTCCTAATTGTTCATGATAAAAGTAATGGGTAGGAAAAGAACATCCATGTGGTTTTAGTAAAAGAAGATGAAGAATCACGGTCTGATTTTGAACAGATTAAAAACATGATGTGGGAAATACACTGACATGTCACATCAGGTTGTGAAAACTTTGGTGCCATTGTATTAACTGATACCAGCTTAGGATCTTCTGTTGTTGAGAGCATGTCAAAGGAAGCCAACAGATCAGCCAGCTCCAGGCAGCCCTTCCAGGAGGGGGAAGAGGGGTCCGTCCTGCGGATGGCACCAACGTGGCCCAGGGGCCACTCTCCCAAAAGAGCTTCCCCATCCCACCACCATTGCTGGGCCTAAAAAAGGATGTGAAAGTGTGTTCTTCGGGCAGTGGGGATTCAGGGGAAAAAGCCTGAGAAAGTTCCAGTGCTGACGACTCTTCTGTGTTGCCTCAGCATCCTTAAGCACACTAAATTACCAGCGAGGGAGAGGCTGAGAACACCTACAGCCTCCCCCCGTCTAGCCAGAGGCCCTCCGTGCTTTGGTAGCTGATGCTTGGTGCCGTTACACGTGCTTTCTTTCGTCTAGTTCAAACGCAGTTGCTGCCTCTCCCCTTCTGCCTTCCCATTTCCTCTGTCTCTCTGTGGTCCTCGATTTCCTGTTTACAGCAACCGGCTGTTTTTTTGGGCTCCTCACCTCTGTACCCGCCCTGCGCCCTCTCTCGTCTTCACTCCTCTCACCTGATCCCCACCCATCCTCTGCAGCGCTGTCCTCCTCCCTGCTTGCCCCGCTAGATAAAAATAGTATGAAAATCTCTACTGAGACCACACCTGCGATGGTTTCAGCGCTATCTCTGCATGCTGAGCCTACTATTGGCTCTTCAACGTGTGTCTGAGCAAATTCGCTGCTGCAGACTTTAACAGCTTTTCATTTTCTTTTCGTCTCTCCTCCCTTCCTCTGATTCACAGCAAGAACGGCCAAAACCAGTGAGATCCCTGCCTGCCAGGGTGTAGCCTCCAGCCCCGTGGGAAAACCCTGTGGCACCCTGCTAGAGCCAGGCCCCCACCTGCTCGTTGCCAGCTTTTGGGGACAACTGACAACTTATCTCAGAAAAATGCCACCGGAGAGACACAGCAGCTCTTTCAGGCCCCTAATGGGCCGGTCACCCAGGAAGGCCACTCTTTATCATGCGCTTGGCACAGGCGGAGTGCAGCTCTCTAATTCGCTGCTGACACTATTAGCCATAGAAACACCAGAAGGGAGAAGGTACAGCCATTCTTACCCCCGCATCGCTTAACTCCTCTTGCTCCCGCAACGTGGGAAAGCAAAACAAGCCCATTTTGAAAGTTGTGTGACTGGGGTTGGTCATGTTAAAACCTCTCCTGATTATTTCTACATGGTGTTTCACAATGACTGCAGGTTTTTGCAACGCTTTTACCAACCCTTTCACCAACCCTTTCAAACTGATAAACTGTATTTTTCTGCTCTGGAGTTTCAGGTAAAAACATGCACAGAATTGAAACCAATGAATTTTGGTTATATGCTTCAGAGAAAGAAATACATATACAGAAGAGTGGTCCTTGCAGCTCTGACAATTCAGCTAAGCACACAACTGTGACTCTTTTACCATGCAGTCCTGTGCAAAAACCTACATGCTAAGGGCCAGGTGCATCCCTGAGCGATGATACCAGGGAGTTAACGTCAGTGATGGGCCCTGAAGCGCTATTTATGAATCTCGTGATCGTTTTGACAAATGTCCTTCATACTTTCAAAAACACAATTTTAGATTTTGAAGATTAATTAAAACTGGAGGACATGGGTGGAGCTCTGAGTGTCCTACAGCTTGTAAAAACATTTGTTTCCCAAGGGTAAAGAGAAATGCGCAACATGCAAAACATGCACAGCAGGAAAACGGAAGCCACTCTTAACAGCAGTATTGATAATAGAGAATCCAACTTATCTTGAAGCAACACTGGGAAGGAAATTTCCTTTATGCGGAAATCCCCGTGACAATACTACTAGCTATCCCAGCTCTGCGACTGTGATAAATCAAGGACTGACTTTGTTTAGGAGTTTAGTAAATAAACTGCAGTTTGTACATTGAAATTCGCATAAACTAGGGCTGGACAGGATCACAAGCAGACATCTAGCCCCTTCCCCGCTTGAGGAGAGTAATTTCTTCCTCTACTAATTGGATGAGAAAAAGCCCTAACAAAAATGTAGCTAACTTTCTGAAAGCCCCGAGCCAGGAGTGTCAGTTGCTGAATGCCCAGTGCAGGACAGTGGGAGGGGGGTTGCACGCACCATCCTCCCTCTGTCACACGCTCAGCTCTGCTGAGTGAACTCAATA